AAGGGGAGGGGGGTGCACCAGTTGGAGATGGGCCTCGTAGGCCCGTCGGGTGGGGCCTGGATGTGCTGTCGGGAAGAAGTACACCCGCGGGGCGATCTCGCCGCGGTGGATGACCCGCAGCGCCTCATCGTGGTCCGGCTGAACCGCCCTCGAGTTGACCCGACCATCGCCGGATGGGTTAAGCGGGTCAACGGAAAAGTTGTGAAACCGATGCGATCCGACAAAGTACGTCTTTAGAAGCCCATTGCACTTCTCTACGGCGCTGGACAGGGAATCCAGCCAGGCATGCTGCCCCTCGGATAACGGCTCCAAACTGCCCGGCTGGGAGGCGACATGGCCTACAGCCCCCCTGTCATCTTGCGCGCCAAGATTCAGTACTATCACTTGATTCACCGTGGATTCCTCCTTCGAATCCCCCGATAGCGACGGCGAGGGGGAAGAAAAAAGAGGCCGCCCCCTCATCGCCATCAGATCCGCTGCGGAGGACTCCCACCCCGGGAAGTCCTTCTGCATCGCCGCCCAGGTATCTGCCTGCGGCAGCAAGGCGTAGGCCGGGATTGCGTAGCGGTAGACCCGTCGATTACAACACCGCCGTGGGATAAAATCCGCGGCTACCGGCGTGATCTTCGCTACGCGAACGAGCGGTGGCAGCCTCGCGTTGATTGCGGCCCGGGCCCCCTCGGGCCCCCCCGCCGCCGCGAGGGCGTCTTTGCGCACGAATATGGAAATTAAATTTCGCGTGGCGTGCACGCCGCGGTCGGTTCGACAGGATCGGCAAAGACGAGACGCCGCGTCCTTTGGGCGGCCGTTCTCAAGCTCGGAAAGGAGACCAACGTCCTTCATCACTTGCATGAGCAGGCCCTCAACGGTGTGGTGGGTCGGGCTGTGCGTCTGGAGCTGAAGACCTCGAAAGGCCGTGCCGGTGTAAAAAAGGCAAAGCGCAATGTGCACATAGTCGGCAGAAGTCTTCTGTCTGCACATATGACGCCCTTCAAAACGCCTTCGAGCCATTTTTTTCTTCGTCTTCTTTATTTTGCTATTTTCGTAGCTTAGAATATGTGCGCCACAACCCCCTTGTTGAAAGTAAAAATAATAAATAGATCATCGACACGCATAGAAATCGAAAGTAGTTTTTTAAAAGTAAACTCAGTGCATCACCATCTCCTGATTGCCCCTCAAAATTGGAAAAAACATGATCCTTCAGATTGAGTGCCTTAACATCAATAGTTATAGTTGTGACTTGGAACAAAAAATGTCAGGATGACCACAGTGGAATAAGGAAATGATAAACCACACAAACTTTATTTAACCGGTCTGTTTACCTCATGAATGAAGTGAAATGGACTCATTACGTTGTGACCAACACGCACCTTCCGTCTTGTAATTGTTGGATAGGCAGCGTCAGCAAGAATTTACTTTAGAGCTTTGCTCAGCGCGATATACTTGACCAATGATGTTGTTAATCACAGTAATTAGCATCGAAATTGTTTTCTGAGTCGACGTAGATGCGTTTTCCGTAGAACTCAACTCGTGCACAAACGCCTTCCCTTCATCTTCAGCCAGAGAAAGACTAGGGTCAATAGGAATTGCACCCAAAAACATAACTTCATACAGGTCTGCCAACTTCTTTCCGCCACCGGTGCTGAAAATATTTGTGCAGTGGTCGCAGTGAGGGCAAACGAACCCTGACATGTTTTCGATGATCCCCAGGCACCGAACTCCAAGCTTTGCACAAAAAGAAAGTTCCTTCTTGACGTCATCAGTGGCGACATCCTGAGGCGTCGTTACAATTACGGCGCCGGAAGGGTTGAAGGGCTTCAGAACCTCACATAACGTCAGGTGCTCATCACTGGTCCCGGGAGGCGTGTCGACGATGAGGTAATCAAGAGGGCCCCAATTTACGTCCGAAATGAACTGCTTGATCATGGCGTCTTTTTTCGGCCCGCGCCACACCACGGCATCCTTATCACTAGGCAACAAGTAGGCAATCGACATCACCTTCAACTCCCCACCCCCCACAGAATCGGTAGCCGTGGTATCCGATGCCTTTATGGTAATCGGCTGCCACCCTTGAGCGTCACGGAAGACATCCCTGCCTTCCAAACCGCATATTTTGGGAACGCTAGGCCCACAAATATCAGCATCCAGCAATCCCACCTTCATGTGGTGCATGTGCGAGAGGGAGAACGCGAGCTGGCATGAAACCGTGGACTTGCCAACACCACCTTTGCCACTCAATACAAGGATAACATGCTTGACTTTGCTCATAGCATGCGGCGAGCCCGTCTGAGAATCTGACATCCTTATTTTTATTATTATTCAAGGCGATGCGAACATACAATGATTGCTATATGGTGTAGGAAGACACACATAATAACAGAACCCATACAAAAAATCAATAAATAAAAAAGAAAAATTATAACTGCACTACATAATACACAGCAAATCAGCACTGATATGTTAGAAACCCATATGTGGGGGAAAATCGCTCACAAACACGGAGCCATACAACAAATTTGTAGCGTTAGTCGTATCAAAAAAAAGATAAAAAAATGCCTTTTTTTATAGTATTGATAAAACAATATATCCACCACCCTTGCCAAGACCGCTTTCTACTCAGTCCTCTTTCAGTCCCTCATCACGCAAGAGCTCCCATAGCTCTTTTATTTGCTGGATCGCAACTGTCGGTTGAGAAAGGTCAATTGTACATGAATGACATGCCTCCTCATTACGAAGGGCCTCACCAGAGAGAAGAAAACGCTGATTATCGCGTCGGGTCTTCTCACGCACCCCCTCAAGAAGGGCGGTAAGGCTGTAGTACCCACACGATACCATCGCCAGAGCGATCGCCGCCGTAAACCCCACCAAGGCGTAGAACGTTCCCCAGGCCAAGGAGCGGTACGCCAGCGCGAGGTGCTCCGCTGTCGGCTTCTCCAGCACCGTCTCCTCCTGCGAGAGGGGGTACCCAAGGGAGATCCCCGGCACCGCGAAGAGACTCCCCCTTTCCAGCCCCGAGGCCGTGTCTTTCAGGGACTCTGAAGGTGTGGGGGGCCCTGTCATCCCCCTGCTTTGACCTGCCTGGCTATGGACGAGTGCAAGACGCAAGAGGGAGTTCCGACCCGGATATCGCCGCATCCTCTAGTGATGTCGTTTCGGCTAATCAACAGTGGAGTGAACCTTCTACCGTTTTCGATAAACAGCGTGATTGTGCGTGGAGCGCTAGTATGGTAGTCAAAATGTATAAATACATCTGTTTGAATGGCAAAAAGGAATCAATCGTGAAGAGTAAGGACAAATTACTAAATGTATAACTATCGTTAGACCACATAAAGATCGTCTTCACTCACTTAGACGAAGTTTACAAAAAATAAATAAATAGACTCGAGACGACTTTACAACATTCCTGTAGAATGAAGGTAAACCCATCCCCAAATCTGATCAATTGGCATGCTTTAATCTCATATTTAAGTTTTTATAGCAGAGGATTCATCCAAATTTCCATTTGTTCCTTGACGTTTAAGAAACCCTGTTGACATGCATAAAATTGGAGTCGTTTAAATATCATTGACAGAGATTAAGAGCAATATCTCTTTCAATCCTTCAGTAAAATAAGTGAGCAGATAATGTCTTGAGTGATTAACATATGGATTTTTTTGTATTAGCTCTTTTTAAAAGATATTTTTAACACGCTAACACTATCATATACCCTAAGAAAAAAAAGGAATACCTTCTCTCATCATTTTACTTATTGTTTCTAAAAGGGCAAACTGATCAAAGAAGCAATATTAATAAACCCGCATGAAACAGATATTGATTTTGCAATGTTCAACACTAACCTATCAAAAACACCATATTATTCATTTTGGTATAGAAGTTCGTTCAGAATACCTCATGTTAGCAGATCAGAGAAAAAAACCCTGAACCGTTGAAGATGAGGGGAGCAGGGTCTAACAGCTTCATCCTCCATAAACTCTAAGATAACTTCGATTTCAGAGCGATTACCTTCCATATCATCATCGTCGATCCTTTTCAAGTACCCAACCGAGTCCGCATTCATAGTGGCCTGCGGGTTCTCCAAGGCAATGTTCACCATCTGGCGATCTCCGGAAGACATCTTAGGAATCATCGCGACGCATTTCCGAAGCAAGACGTTAATCAAGCACACGCAGAGATGGCTTGGTGAGATATCCAATAACAATACTAGTTTCTCCAAAAGCGCAGGTTGGTGCTGTATTGTATTAATCAAGTCCGATAATGCTGTGTGTGGTTCGCCAGGAGGCAAGATCCTCAGCGCCAGATCTGGTACAGGCAGACAGAAGTACACCAAGCACGCTGCCAGTACTCCGGCGTTCGTCGCTTGGATATGCTCACACGCTGCTATCAGACCTAATGCGTGCAAGAGAACCACACGGCGTCGAGTACAGCTACTCTTTCGAACGATAACCGCCAACGCACAAAAGCACGCCATTCGCAGCTTAGTACTCTTCGTGTTCCACATGGTCTCGAGCCATTTCAATGGGATAGAATCATCTGGGAAAAAGTCCTCAGCGGCCCCATCCCACATAAGCAAGAACGTGTAGACGCAGCGTATAGTGAGATAAAGTGAGGAAAACTCGCGCTGGGTGTTGTGGAGGGACCACGACAGGGCCTCCTTGAGGAAGAATCGGAGAGAGGTGGTGCCCGCCCTGCCGATGCTACGACCCATCACCAGAAGAAGCTCCCAGGCGTTGTCCTCCACCCACGGCGTCAGGGGCAGCCCCGGCGTTGTGCACTTGAGGATGACAAGCGAATACATCCGGCAGATCGCGTCGTCGCTCGTGCAGATCTTTGTGGAGCTCTGAAGACAATCCAGCAGGGCCATTATAGTGCTCATATCCCGGGAGCTGGCCCCCTCATCCTCCGCCCCGCAGGCCGAGATAAACTGCATGACTGCGGGCAGGATGATGTCGAGGATGAAATCGCCATGGGCCTGCACGGCGCCCTTTTCAACCAAGATGTGCATGATCCCGGCCATTTCCTTCACCGAATACGGGGAGTGAAGTCGAGGTAAAAGGCGTTGGATAGCCCCAAATATGGTATCGAGCAAGGTTGACGTCAACTCACCCACACTAAAGTTGTAACTCGATACGAAGTTCTGCACAGCGCGAAGGGCAGTGAGCACGATAACGATGTTGTCCTGATAGGCCCAGAGCACCTTGCCGAGCGCAGTATGAATCTGCAGGCGATGCTCCACGTGTGGCACCGACTCACACCACATTCCCACCAGCCATATCACGCGGCGGAGGATAAACAAGCTCGGCATAATGGCTACATCTCCAGACGAGGCATTCCATATAATCGGCATGAGTTTTTTCTCGAGAAACGTGAGGTAGCTGCTATGGCATGTGAACTTCTCGCTGAAGGCCATGGTGTAGTGGCCGAGGCCGATGGCGTGCAGGGCCGCAGTGGCCTCGCGCTCGCCGCCCTCCTGCAGGAGCCCGTTGAGAAGGGGCCAGGCCACCCGAAGACAGGCGGCCTCCCCTGCGGCGGAGCCGGTGAGGGCGGTAAAGAGCGACGCCGCGGCGCCCGCGATGGAGTCAATGTCCTTGATGCTGAGGTCCATATCTTCGGCGGCGCGCTCCGCCTCCGTCCCCACCTCCCACCCCTGCCGCGTTTCTATAGAGGTGTCGTCCGGGAGGAAGTCCACCACGAGGCGCCGGAGAAGCCGCGGGAGAAGCTCGGACTCACTAAAAGACCGTACACACCCCTGCACGAACTCGTCACAGTCATCAAAGAGAACAAACTTCGTCAGCAGACCTGCGGCCCGACAGACGATCTTCTCCGAGAGGACCTCCTCCGGGGTCTCCCCCAACCCGCGGGTTTCAATGAGAATCACCACCAACTCGAAAAGGGGGGGGGGGAAATCGGGATCGGGATCGGGATCAGGATCAGCCGGGATGGAGGACATGAAAAAGGTGAACGGCAGCGCGCTAATTTTATCCATGTAGAACGTCGTAATATTCTCCAGTATCTTCATCGCGTACTCTATGAGACGGAGTCGACGACCGTACGCGTCTGGGCTCTCGGCGGAGTTCAGCCCATCGCATAGTCTCCAAGTCGTCTTTAATAGATAGATATAGAAGCTTGGTTCAAACACACCATAACTGAAGACGTATGAAGAACATTTCAAGAAGTACAGGGACGCATCGTAGGATTTCGGATCAGAATCCAAAAAAAGACGCGAACATACGATTGAAAGTGGTTGGATAATTTTTTGACATAGAGTTCCGAAGACGCCTTTGACGTGATCATCACTTAGAGTTTTCATGAGCATGTGAAGATTAAGCAGCATGCGCGAAAGAAGAGGGATATTCATGTGCTTCCCAATCTCACCACTTTCTTCCTTTTCAACCCCGCATGCATCAATCAACACATCAATGTATGAGAATGCAAGATAACTTACCAGGTCTGGCAGCTCTAGGGGGTTCGCCTTACTACCTTCTCGCCTAGCCATCAAGGCAGGGATCAACGCCATTTTACGAGCCAAGAGTAAAGAAGGCTGACACTCGTTGATCACGAGGTCCGCGTATTGATAAAACAGCTTCGCTTTGAGGGCCTTTGGGACTGCATTACGCCAAGTATCCATCACGAACTCCACGACGGTAGTGCAAAGGAAAAAACGGATATCATGTGAAACCTCCGAAGACGAGATGCGGGCCCAGGTGTAGTCCAAAAATTGCTCGGGATCATCCTTTTGGATAAGTTGAAGCTGAGCAGAAGCAGCCTTGCGTTGTTCATTGTCAACTGAAACACGCAATACTTCCAAAATGTGTTCCATCAATAAATTACTTATTCCTCTGAGATCCTTTTTATTACTAGATTTATGAACGTTTGTAATAAAGGGAAAAAAAATATGCGGGTAATAGCCATGGGAAACGCTTAAAGATATGGGCACATTTTAAAAAATGGTGTAGCGTGTTGGACAGTCACGTTATCTTCAGTTAGCAATGTTCATGTTTTTTCTCAGCTCCATCACACACACGCGTTTATGCACCTTTCTCCTTCCCACACTGCTGCGTTCAACTAGTCTCGTAGCTTGTTTTTCTATTTCCTTCACCGGTATTCAGTGAAAATCAAGATGTGATTATTTACAACTTTGGTTGGTTGAGGTCGTTTTTACAGGCTAGAAAAAGTTGCCGACCGCATTGTCGATTTCCTGCGTTACCCGAAGCATCATATCCGAATTTTGAACATCCAGTGGAAGGTATCCAACGAGACCATAGCCTTCTACAACACTCATCAAAGCCTTTGTATACTCATACAAGCGTCCTTGGTTCTTCGTCGGTTCGACTGAAGTGGGATCTAAAGAATTAGGTGCGTCCAGACGAGACTTACTCTCATTTCCGATACTAAATGAAGTTGCTAGATGGTGAAGGCGGCGTTTCCGTTGAAGCTGACGTTGCCACAGATTATCAAAGTTCTCGGTCATGAAATCGGAAGCAAAGAGGTAGGGACTTCGCTCGTCAATGTTGTTTTCTAAAAGATCATTCTTGTCTAGCGTATCCCACTTCGTCAGCACGTTCACATGCGGAAGCTCGTGGTCAATCATTGTTGAAAGGGATAAGACGCAGGATGAGACATACGTCGGGAGATCCCTTGTAGCCACCCCAGCATCGATAAGATGTACGGTGCAGAGGGAACAGTGCAAGCGTTTCTGAATCACCGTAAAAAGAGTGCACATCATAGTTGAGTTTAGATAAAATTCTACTTGACCTGGGCAATCAATGAGTAAATACGGCGCCCGAAAAGAGGGCGTTGAGAAAGAAGCCGCAGCAGTGCTTACAGGTGGTGTGCTGTTCAACATTTCTTGTATCCGTTGCTGTACAGAGACTTCAATGTGTTCAATCAGCCAATTAATCTCATTTTGCATTACCTCGGCGCAGAAGAGGTAGCTTCCATTTGGTCCTAAGTGTTCAATATCCATTACTATCCTATGCGAGACGAGCTCACGGATATCCACATCGCAGGGGTACGGAAATACACCCTCGTTTGCCGGGTCTAAGTTAACAATGACAACTGGTCGGGTGGGGTCATAGACGCTTAAAAACTGTCGCTTTCCCTCGCAATAGGTAGTCTTACCGCTGCCAGGAGGCCCACAAATGAGCTCACCAAACATAAAAATAATATGAAGTAAGACTATAAACAAGTCAACTATACCTTTTTATTATTATTTCTAAATAGATACCGCACAAAGAATAGGAACATGTAGACACAAATAAAAATAAAAAAATATGCTTTTGATTGGCATCTGTTGATATTGTTGGAAACACACTGAGAACAAAAAACCGTACTACAAAATTAGCATAGTTTCAGATAAACAAGGAACATCCTTGTTAAGCTAGGTGAAGGAAAATGTTTCATGACATGTAAGAAAATGTCTTCATTATGAAATTTTTAACTACAGATGTGTTAATTAACGTTTTAATTACTATACTAAAAAATATATCTTCGAGGATTCATTGAATAAAGTGAATATAATAAAACTTGAATCAAAGCAATCACAAATAACTCAAAGAAGATTTTCCACCAAACTTCCAGTATATATGTTTGCCCTCAAATCCCACGAATGCTGCGGTGCACCTTTGTATTTATTGGCAGTTTCCTGCAGTTGAGTCCAGCCGCCATAGTAATTGATAGCTTTTCGAAATACACGGGAAAGTATCGTATCAATCTTGTACTGAGGGATGTTATCATCTAACAAAGGACACAGCTCGTCGGCAGTGTTTTTGAAAAAGGGCACAACTTTAGTGGCGTAAAGGTGAGCTGCCTTAGCACAGTTTTGCTCTGGATAGATAGGATTCTTTATATATAATTCGTGTGCATGTCCCTTTACAAAACTCTTTCGTCGTACGTAATCGATTCCAAGTCGCACAAAGTCAAAGGTCGCTCCATAATACTTTATGAACCCTGAAAAGAGAACGGCAAGGCTGTTATGGAGAGTAGCAGGATATCTTTCCTTAACTTCAGTTTGTAAGAAAAATAACACCATAAGAGCGATAGGAAAAGAGCCCAAGCCTCCCTTGCTTGGGTCCCCGAGGTCATTGCATGCGATTACAGTTTTTATGAGGACAGTGAGAGCCCTAGCCATCTCATTCTCAGGCCGCATATACTCCGCGCAGAGAAAGTATGAAGAAATAAGACCATCCTCCGTCAAGGAGAGATCCACGTTTAACCCCGTATTACAGTGGTGACACTTCACAATGGGTACCCTTGCATGCCCGATTGGAATAACCTTACTGAACTTCCGCGTACGGCGTATCTCGTTCGCGACGTCGCGAACACTGAACGCGAGGTTTCTCTTCGCCATCATTGAAGATGAGAAGAGGAAGCCCTCCAATTGCCCTGGCGGAGTCCTTTTGAGGGTTCCTGAGCGTCCCGCCCGGGCGTCGTCCTTTTCCTTCCGGATCACCACGCAGTCCAGGTCGCTGTCCATGGTGGTGAGACCTGTCATGGTGCTCCCGAAGACCTCGACATGGAGGTCGATGGGGGAGAGAGTCAGCTCCAGGTCCATGAGGACCTGCAGCCGGCGATCCCGCTCCTTCGAGGCCGGGGTGAAGCCCTTGAGCAGCTCCGCCAGTTCGCAGTCCACGGCATTGAGGCTGCGGAGGGGCGAGGAGCTGGAGGGGGGCGGAAGGGCGGCCTCCAGGAAGGGGAGGCGGTAGTACGAGCGGTATCCCCTCCCCAAACCTGAAGAAGGGGTCCGCGCGACGTCTGAGGCCGGGGACGAGTTCCCTGTGCGGCGTCTCGGCCCAGGGCTTCGCGTGAGCCGATCTGATGAGGGTGGTGTGGGGGGGAGTAGGGTCTTTTCGATAGCCTTCTCTAACACCATATCTGACACGTGAACCGAGATTCACCAAAGGCGTTACAGGGGTAGCGCAATGGAAATGGCGATGTGAAACCAAAGCCGTCCACCTAGCGGCCCACAGGTGAAATACCAAAGAGCAGGGAAAATAAAATAAAAATAATACAAACACAGAAAATTTGAAGAGTTTGGGGGAAATAAAAGCTTTAGGGATGAATAGGAGAAGAAGGTAAGTTGCTCGAAAGGAGGTAAAATAATATCCCAGAACATTTTGATACAAAATAACAACCAAAAACTGATAACATGGCTCGATTTGCGAATGCTGAAATGGCAACAATAATAATGATAATAATAAACACTTTTATGGAGTTTATTGTTTGTTTTCCTTCCTTCGTACGACGCTGGGTATGCCCTCAACGTTTAGATGAATGTCGGACAATATACATAAAGGAAATGGTAAGATAGGTTGACATACCACGATATTCATTCGAGACACCAGAGGCGTTAATACACATGCTTGCTCAAATGGCAATTGGTGTAAGGAACTTTATATATTGATGCTCATGGTATTCTCTGTCGATCTATATTCCATTTTTTTTCTATTTTAACCATCTTTGATGTTCGTTGGTATTTCACAGATTCCATTTACACATGGAAAATTGCCTTGCTTTTCAGCCCGGTTCTTTTCTAACCATTCATCAAGGGTGGTCCTCAACATATTTTGCGTTGCTCGGCTCGCCCGGTTGCCGTCCAGAATTAGACTATACAATTGGGGATTCATTTTGACGGCCTCTAAAAAGCACAGAGCAGCAGGTTCACCAAACGCGTTCATGGACACATCAAGTATGGATATCGAGATGCTGTTTGCTGTGGCCTGTGCGATGGCCGACGCGCTTTCATCGTCCAGTTGATTGTCGGACAGGTTGAGCTCCTTTAGTGCCCTCGACCGGCAGAGGAATCTAGCGATATGGAAGCCGCCCGAGGACCCTAACGAGCAGGAGCTGAGATCGAGCCGCTCGACGGCACTGCGCGTGTTCAACAAGAGAGCCTCCGCCAACCCGCTCGCTCCCTTCGCGCCTAGCGGGTTACCCGAAAGACAGAGCGACTGCAGAAAGCAGTTGTTCGCCAACCCGTCGACCGCGATCTTCTGCACCCCCACGGCGGTGAAGGTGTTCAGGCGCAGATCGAGCTCCAGTATCGTCTCGTTGCGCGCGAGCATGTCGGCGACGCGTTCGGCCGCCGCGTCCGTGGCGTCGTTGCAGCCCAGGGTGAGTTGGAGGACCTCGCGGTTTGCCCGCAGGGCGTCGCAGACGTGGCCCATCCCGGCCTCGCCCAGGCGGTTGCCATACAGCAGAACCCGCCGCAGCGTCAGGGACGGGTTGGCGAGGAGGGCCGCGAGGTGGCGGGCCCCGGTCGGGCCGATGTCATTCAGGGAAAGGTCCAGGAATTCCAAAGAGGCCCTCGCGAAGCAGCGCGCGGCCAGCTCAACCCCTTCCGCGCCTAGTTTGTTGTGGTTGGCGTTGAGGTGGGTTACGGTGGTCGAGGTCCCAATCGCCTTGAATAGCTTCCGCACCTCCCCCACCCCTAACTTGTTCCCGCGAATGTCAATCATTTGTATGCAAGGCGATATGTTCACCACACTCGCGAGACTGTCGCAACCTTCCTTGCCAATGTTGTTGAACCGCAGTCGAATCTCCTTCGCGGTTGAAACTTCTAGATTGGAAATAAGGCGATGGGCCCGGCTCGGGCCGAGGTGGTTGTCCATTAAATCAACGGTTTGCAATGACGAGAGCGTTTCCTGTTCTTTAAGTGCATGACAAAGACTATCAAACATTTCATCCGTCAGCGAGTTGCCAATGAACTCGATGCTTCGGAGTGGGGCAGGTGCAGAGTTAATGAACTGCATGCGAAACAAAGCAAAGATGTACAAATCACAACCCTTTTCCCTTTCTTTATTCTAATTAGAAACAAAGAGGGTAAAAAATAACTTAAGTAATCATTTACTCACCGACATTAATAGAGGGATTCAGCAGGACGAGTTTTGGAGTTTTAAATTTAAGAAGAAAATGAGGTTGACTAATGGTAGCTCGAGGTGTTGATCATTTAGATACAGTTTTTGTTTGATAAAGAAAAAAAAATAGAAATAACAGAAAAGTAAATGCAACATATATATATATATACTCGAACAGAAATAATACACAAGTATTTAACTATTTCCAATAGAAAATGTCTTTGTAAAGAACAAATATCACAAATAAACCTACCAATTATTGCATTTTTATGATCATTATGACTATGGGTACTTCAATTTGACATTAGATTGTCCTTACATGGACAGAGAAAGTACATCTCAGACTACTTGTCTAGATTTGGTCACATACTAGGATTTGCAAAGACAGCTCAAACACTCCTGTCTCGATCGAAAAGCGTAGAATTGAGGTGATTAGCCGGTCAGCTGCTCATCGCACGCTCAGGTAGGCCCCCTCGCTGGTTTGCTTGATAAGTGCGTTGGATTACACGATAACGAAGGAATTGAATTTTCCGTTGATGATGGTTTGACCGCCCTTCTTCGGAGATGGAGTCCACTGTATTCAGATTCTCTATCAGAATCACTACCTACCATTTCACAATGATTGAGTACGAAAATCGGCGCGTTGGATTTCGACAACTTTTGAAATGGAGGCTTGACCTTCTTGGTAATTTCCGAGGGCTTCCTTTTGAAGATCTTCGCTTGCGAAGGAGGTACCGGTCTTCCATTTTTTTCATATGTTTTGTTGTTCGTACACTCAGAGCCTGGCCCTGAAGAGTTCTTTGTATTAGAAACACCTTTTTTAAACAGCCTCTTTTTCACCGGATACAAAACCCTCGATATGAAGCTGCGCTTTATTGTCGCCCAAACCCCGAATAGTCCCTGTTGAGGATAAGGAACTTCTTCGGTGTCAGAATGTTGTGAAGCGTACTCCTTAAGTGTTACAAAGGATTCCACAGAACGAAGTGTAGGGAAATCGGGTGAGTTGGGCTCATAGTTTGGCGAAAAAATACGCATCTCCTTTCGGTGGTTCCAATTATAGAATGATTGAAGTGCTTGGCGATCGACAAAGCTGCCCATGAAGGCCGCTGTCTGAATCTTAAACACCTTATCGATCATTTGTACTATCGGGATGCCGACCGCATTCAAGGGGTCGGGCTCGCTCTCCGAGTAAAGTGAAGACCTCGAGGCCTGCCGGGGGATGGATGGGAATGGCTGGAATGTGGAGCCCTGCGAAAGGGGGCTTTTGGCCCATTTAGCAGCCCTCCAACTCTCCTTTTGACCACCTTCCCTCGTCCACGCCAAGGGATTGTCGATAGTCCCGGCGCCTCTGCTGCGGGGGCGACGTGCCAGGAAGAACTGCACGACGTGAAGGTCAATCCAGGTGTGGTCGACCGGGACGTCCAACGCGAGGGCCTCATTAATGAGGGGAAAAGCGCGATAACCCTCGGATTCGATCTGCAGCTTATCTAAGTGTTTGGAGGTCATCGCGACGTGGGTTTCGTAGTACAGAAGTTTCATAAGTTTGATGTAAATAAATGAGCTGCCGCTTCCGACCTCCCCGGGCGGGGGAAGGGTGTAGCGTTTTTTTTCGTGATAGAGCAGCCGTCTCCGGATACTCGCGGTATCGCTGCCTAAGCCCAAATGGCCCAACGGGACGACGAAGAAGAACGCGATTGCCATAAAAGGCTCAAACACCACAAAAATCGCATGAGGAATGCACACAAAGACATAAGTGGCGACGTCAGTTATCAAAACCGATACCCATTGGAGAATTCCCATCATTGGCTCGTCAACCGATGGCAAAAACCACACCCGAGTGGTAAAAGGCATCGTCAGTGTAATCACAAACGTCAGGAAAAGCATCGTGAGAAGTGTGTCATTGGGAAATACCCATTTATCAGAAGAAGTGATCTGGATTACATTCACCAAATTAAACATCACGACGCTACGCATCACAAAAATAAAGCGGTTGAGGCGATCCCCGCGGAAGTGAAGTTCGTCAAGCAGTGCTTGGACAAGGTTCCTCGACGTGAAAGCCATAATCAAACCATAGATAAGAAATATTGGTGGGATAAAAAACGTCCACGTGGGTGGTACTTTAAGCATCACCTCTAAAGTTTCAGATGCAATGAAAGATTGGTAGGGTGTCAGGTTGACGATGAACATGATCATATAGATAATCCAGTTTATGGTGACCAAGACAATAGTGGCGATAAATCGTTTGGTAAAGCGCCTGTTCGATGATCCAGGACCATACTCCACAGGGAGAATGGTGCGGTAGTAAAAGGTATATGTTATTCCTTTGAGCCCCATCCACTTTTGGGTGCATACCACCTCGTTTGAGTGGGGAAAATCCTGAAAGTTCTTATGTGAGACATCCATCGCATTAGAGATATTATTGTGAAAAAAAAGAGCCAGGGCCCAGGTAGTTTGGGCAAGAATGATTTTAGGATAACGACGTGATACCATCATGGCTTTTGAAATGTAATTGGGTTCGTGGCTCATAACCGCCACCCGTGCGACCGTGACGTCGCCAAGCACGGAATGGGGGTAGTGCGCATAAATTTGCTGCACACAATGTCGACAGAGGTCAATAATCTGAACGCAGGCTTCACTGTCAAAAAGATTAGTGAAGTTATCCCCGGTACTTCCATCGAATGAATAGGTTACGGCCTTGGATCGATCTCTTCTCGATTGGATCTGATGAAGCCCGTTAAAGGACGGAAAATTCGAAGTGAGGCTGTGGTCCCCACTGACGAGAGATTTTTTAATATCATTCTCCAGGACGTACTCCAACGTGTCGAAGCCAACTTTGCACGCGTAGTAATACACATGGAGCGGAAAACATGGAGTGAAGGCAAACTCGGTGGACCCCACAATCTCATCTGCGAGGTCGACCGCACAGCATACCGCACTCCACGTCTCCGCATAGCAGTGGTGGTGAAATAAAGAATAAGCTTTATTCATGTAAAAGGGCAGCAGCTGACGAGTGCTCGCGTAAAATGGAAGTTTGGTGGGGTAAAGTTGACGAAAGACGGGGGTGCCGCGCTTCGCATATACCCCCATGGGCGATAATCCACCGGAAAAGGCGGGGCAAAGAGAGAGATAAACTAATTGGTGCGGCGCCTTGATCGACATTTCCAAAATGGTTGTCGAATCCTCTCGCGCCACCGCGGCCCGGAGGATAATTTCCTTGAAAGCCTCCTTCAAATGTTGGGACGAGGCGATGTGAAGGCCCGCATTGGCGATCACAATCGTCTGATCCATTTGCCCAAGCTGCAATAAAGTGAGGGCGTGGACGTAATAGGCGGTGGAAAGAACATGGACCTGGGCTGGTAGGAGGGGGATCGAGGCCTTATCGGAGGCGAGGCTGAGGAAGCGATTTAAAGGCTCTACCGAGTCGTGAAGAGGCATTCCGTAGAGAGCCAGCGCGCAGCCAAACACGGAGACATACTCAGAAGGGGTGCCTTTTGCTTTAATGTCAACCTGCATGAGGGAAACAATATCCTCCGAAGCCTCGGGCCGGGACCCAAGCTCAAGTAAGGCTTGACACCGAATCGCAACCATGGAGATGCGATAAAACTCCTTTTCGGGAAATTGTACTGCGAAATCGCACGATTGGGGTTGGTCCTTCGGATTCAAAGGGATCATCTTCAAAAAACGCGAGGCAAATTCTATACTAGTGCGATAACGCTGCGTGTAGAACGCAGTGAAGGCAGACACCAAAAACACCTCCCATTCACTGCACTGCGAAAGGAGAAATTCGAGAGCCTTCTCTTGCATTATCTGTCCTGTATCGGTAACACCAAAAGTATGTTCGGATTCATAGTTCGTTTTGTCAGGTTTGATGAAAGGAAATGCAAAAAAATTGCGAAACCAAACATTATTTACGGGCACCGAGTACGGCTCCGAGGCATCAACATCGTTCAGGAGAGTCAAGGCGATTATATACCAAAGATGGAGATCCTGCCAGCTTACCAATTGCATCACCACCTCAATAACGCGCTGGTACTTCGAGAAAGTGTCGTCAAGGTTTGACTGATAGAACTTCCCATCGTTGAAACTAGAATTTGAAGATAAATCTGAATAGGATTCAAGTGGCAAGTCCTTGGTTTTTTTCTGATCGAAGATCCCGCACTTTTTGCGTGTGGTCAACCATTTTGCCATAACAAGATTGTGTCTCTGGAGCATTGACCCTTCAGTTAGAGAAATCAGCTTGTTTTGATTGCTTTCCTCAATAAGTTCACTTACAATCTGGCATGTAGACACAATATAGACCTCTATGGCAAGCAAGGCATATTCACATTTACCAGAAAGCGCAAGCGACGCAGCCCAGACCGTTATATCGTTTTTCAACGCACCCAAACGATTGGCCTCTTCGAGATTACCTAAGCTGAGAAACGCCCACGCCCACTCCGATCGACGCACAACAAAGTCATCAAGTAAATCATAGCGATCAAAGTTATCTTTGCACATTGACGACCCAGCAAAGTGCCAAATATAAAATATAAATAGACTTAAATATTACCCCAGGTTTATATGAAAACTCTGCGATAAATGCAAAAAAAGAAGCCCATATAACAGTATTAGTGGATGATTACTACGCCACTGGGATAGTAAACTGACAATGGACTTAAAGAAAGCTGTAAAAAATTTTAAATTTAAAAGAAACAAATAATATGCGAAGTGTGTAGAAAAGCGTGCACTATAAGCCTTGGGTTAATAAATGATGAAAAACCTTTAAGAATAAGCAACCAGACCAAATCTAGATAAGAAAGGGAAGAAAATAGTCCAACATAATTTAAAGGGTAAGTAAAAATGTTCAAATCGTCAAGAAGTTAGACATGATCAGGTTGTATCTCTCGCAGCTACTTTTTCGTGACATAATAAAGTGTTCAGATAAAGAAAAAATGTTTACATTTATTCAAACTCTATTATTAATAATTCAGGAAAAAAATCATAAAGTAAATGATCGAAGAAGGTAAAAACTTAAATAAAATAAAACAAAAAAAATCTATGAAATGGATCAATTAATGATCCGAGTAGGGACAAGCACCCCTTACTCTTCC